CCAGGGGAGGGTATACATCTCTCCCCCACTGGTGCTAGGGATGTGCTGAATGAATGGATGTTGGAAAATGCTATCATTTGTTCGCTGTGGTTCTACTTGTAGGTAGAACGGTTAATCCAAGAACGAGGCTGGGAGTTCATGTGGAATGAGCGCCTAGGATACATTTTGACCTGTCCTTCGAACCTTGGAACAGGACTACGAGCTGGTGTCCACGTTAGGATCCCAAAGCTCAGCAAGGTACTGTTATGTGCCCAATGGCCCTGATGGGCCAGGATCAGCTCAGATGTGACTGTGGAGGGAGAAAATATCACTGCCCACTCCTTAACCCTTACTTTCTCTACCTACAGTATAAAAATAAGAAAAAATTAAGTTTGCCTCAAAAGACATTTGTATTAGTTAGAATAAAAGTTAAGGGTCTGTAAGAAAAAGATGGTAGCTTCAAGAATAAGGCCTTTACATTTTTCCTCATGTAACAAATTGGGATAGGTAGTCTCTGCTCTCTCTGGTTCTTTCTATCTCCTTTCTCTGTCTCTTCCAGTTCAAGCAGGTCTCAAACATAAGCATGCACAAGATCACCTGAAAGACTTGGTAAAATACAAGTTGCTAGGCCCCACCTGCAGAATTTGCATTTCTAACAAGTTTCCAGGTGATGCTGGGGTTTTTGGTCAAGGGTCTACCCTTGGAGGAATGCTGTCTTAAAGCGCTGTTCTTAGAGACCTACAAAGAGACTTAGACTCCCACACAGTAACAGTGGGAGACTTTAACACCCCACTGTCAATATTAGATCAACAAGATAGAAAATTAACAAGGATATTCAGGACTTGGACTCAGCTCTGGACCAAGCAGACCTCATACACACACATCTATAGAACTCTCCACCCCAAATCAACAGAATATATACATTCTTCTCAGCATTACATCACACTTATTCTAAAATCGACCACATAATTGGAAGTAAAATACTACTCAGCAAATGCAAAAGAACAGATACCATAACAGTCTCTCAGACCACAGTGCAATCAAATTAGAACTCAAGATTAAGAAACTCACTCAAAACCGCACAACTACATAGAAATTGAACAATCTGCTCCTGAATGACTACTGGGTAAATAACGAAATGAAGGCAGAATAAGTAAGTTCTTTGAAACCAATGAGAATAAAGACACAATGTACCAGAATCTCCGGGACACAGCTAAAGCAGTGTGTGGAGGGAAATTTATAGCACCAGATGCCTACAGGAGAAAGGAAAGATCTAAAATCGACACCCTAACATCACAATTAAAAGAGCTAGAGAAGCGAGAGCAACAAATTCAAAAGTGAGCAGAAGACAAGAAATAACTAAGATCAGAGCAGAACTGAAGGAGATAGAGACACGAAAAACCCTTCAAAAAAATCAATGAATCCAGGAGCTGGTTTTTTGAAAAGATTAATAAAATAGATAGGTCATGAGTCAGACTAATAAAAGAGAGAAGAATGAAATAGACACAATAAAAAGTGATAAAGGGGATATCACCACTGATCCTACAGAAATACTACCATCAGAGAATAGTATCAACACCTCTGCAAATAAACTAGAAAATCTAGAAGAAATGGATAAATTCCTGGACACATACACCCTTCCAAGACTAAACGAGGAAGAAGTCGAATCTCTGAATAGACCAATAACAAGTTCTGAAACTGAGGCAGTCATTAATAGCCTACCAACCAAAAGTCCAGGACCAGACGGATGCACAGCTGAATTCTACCAGAGGTACAAAGAGGAGCTGGTACCATTCCTTCTGAAACTATTCCAAACAAAAGAAAAAGAGGGACTCCTCCCTAACTCATTTTATGAGGTTAGCATTATCCTGATACCCAAACCTGGCGGAGACACAATAAAAAAAGAAAATTTCAGGGCAGTAACCCTGATAAACGTCGATGCGAAAATCCTCAATAAAATACTGGCAAACTGAATCCAGCAGCACATCAAAAAGCCTATCCACCACAATCAAGTAGGCTTCATCTCTAAGATGCAAGGCTGGTTCAACATACACAAATCAATAGCACTTACTTAAAAGTGTGAGAGAAAAAACACTAGTAGGCAAAACTATAGAGACAGTAAAAGATCAGTAGTTGCAAGAGTTTGGGGGAAGGGAGGCAAAGAGGAAAGAGATGAATACATGGAGAATAAGGCATTTTTTAAAAAAGGACAGTGAAACTATGATATATGTTACTGAAATAGTGGATATGTGACATTATGCATTTGTCAGAACTCATATTGCAAAGACAAGGAACAAGGCTAGAATCTCATAACCCAGAAGGATATGCTATTGACATGCAGTTTTGCTACATCCCCAAAGGTAAAAGAACATAGGGCCCTCTCAACCAATTTCAATGACGGTAAAAAAGCACCTGGATAATAACAGACCACTGGTTCAACATATGCAAATCAATAAACGTAATCCAGCATATAAACAGAACCAAAGACAAAAACCACATGATTATCTCAACAGATGCAGAAAAGGCCTTTGACAAAATTCAACAGCCCTTCATGCTAAAAACTCTCAATAAATTTGGTATTGATAGAACATATCTCAAAAAAATGAGAGCTATTTATGACAGACCCACAGCCAATATCATACTGAATGGGCAAAAACTGGAAGCATTCCCTTTGAAAACTGGCACAAGACAGGGATGCCCTCTCTCACCACTCCTATTCAACACAGTGTTGGAAGTTCTGGCTAGGGCAATCAGGCAAGAGAAAGAAAGAAAGGGTATTCTGTTAGGAAAAGAGAAGTCAAATTGTCCCTGTTTGCAGATGACATGATTGTATATTTGGAAAACCCCACTGTCTCAGCCCAAAATCTCCTTAAGCTGATAAGCAACTTCAGCAAAGTCTCAGGATACAAAATCAATGTGCAAAAATCACAAGCATTCCTATACACCAATAGACAAACAGAGCCAAGTCATGAATGAACTCCCATTCATAATTGCTACAAAGAGAATAAAATACCTACGAATACAACTTACAAGGGATGTGAAGGACCTCTTCAATGAGAACTACAAACCACTACTCAAAGAAATAAAAGAGGATACAAACAAATGGAAGACTATTACATGCTCATGGATAGGAAGAATCAATTATAGTGAAAATGGCCATACTGCCCAAAGTAATTTATAGATTCAATGCTATCTCCATCAAGCTACCATTGACTTTCTTCACAGAATTAGAAAAAACTACTTCAAATTTCATATGGAACCAAAAAGTAGCCCGTATAGTCAAGACAATCCTAAGCAAAAAGAACAAAGCTGGAGGCATCATGCTGCCTGACTTCAAACTATACTACAAGGCTACAGTAACTAAAACAGCATGGTACTTCTACCAAAACAGAGATATAGACCAATGGAACAGAACAGAGGCCTCAGAAATAACACCACATCTACAACTATCTGATCTTTGACAAACCTGACAAAAACAAGCAATGGGGAAAGGATTCCCTATTTAATAAATGGTGTTGGGAGAACTGGCTAGCCATATGCAGGAAACTGAAACTGGACCCTTTCCTTACACCTTATACAAAAATTAACTCAAGATGGATTAAACATAAGACCTAAAAACCATAAAAATCCTAGAAAAAAACCTAGGCAATACCATTCAGGACACAGGCATGGGCAAAGACTTCATGACTAAAACACCAAAAGCAATGGCAACAAAAGCCAAAATAGACAAATGGGATCTAATTAAACTAAAGAGCTTCTGCACAGCAAAAGAAACTATCAGAGTGAACAGGCAACCTACAGAATGGGACAAAAATTTTGCCATCCATCCATCTGACAAAGGGCTAATATCCAGAATCTACAAGGAACTTAAATTTACAAGAAAAAAGCAACCCCATCAAAAAGTAGGTGAAGGATATGACCAGACACTTCTCAAAAGACAACATTTATGTGGCCAACAAACATGAAAAAAAGCTCATCATTGGTCATTAGATAAATGCAAATTAAAACCACACTGAGATACCATCTCACACCAGTTAGAATGGCGATCATTAAAAAGTCAGGAAACAACAGATGCTGGAGAGGATGTGGAGAGATAGGAATGCTTTCACACTGTTGGTGGGAACGTAAATTAGTTCAACCATTGTGGAAGACAGTGTGGCGATTCCTGAAGGATCTAGAACTAGAAATACCATTTGACCCAGCAATCCCATTACTGGGTATAGATCCAAAGGATTATAAATCATTCTATTATAAAGACACATGCACACGTGTGTTTACTGATTCACTGTTCACAGTAGCAAAGACTTGGAACCAACCCAAATGCCCATCAATGGTAGACTGGATAAAGAAAATGTGGCACATATACACTATGGAATACTATGCAGCCATATAAAAGGATGAGTTCATGTCCTTTCCAGGGACATGGATGAAGCTGGAAACCTTCATTCTCAGCAAACACAAGAACAGAAAACCAAACACCATATGTTCTCACTCATAAGTGGGAGTTGAACAATGAGAACACATGGACACAGGGAGGGGAACATCACACACTGGGGCCTGTCAGGGGTTGGGAGTTTGGGGAAGGGAAGGGATAGCATTAGGAGAAATACCTAATGTAGATGATGGATTGATGGGTGCAGCAAACCACCATGGCACGTGTATACCTATTTAACAAACCTGCACATTCTACACATGTATCCCAGAACTTAAAGTATATAAACTGTTATCTCTCACTATACGTCTTTTGTCAGTAAATGCACCAATGATTGTGAATCGATTTTGCCTCTTACCACATTTAAGTATTATCCCTTTGTCCTAGGACCCACGCTTTTCTAAGATCCTGGAAAACCTAAGACTCCAGAAGCGTGGCACAGGTGGTGTGGACACTGCCGCAGTCGCAGATGTGTACGACATTTCCAACATAGATAGAATTGGTCGATCAGAGGTAACGTCTCTCTCACTTTTGTAACATGAATTAACAAAATCAGCCTAAGAGAATAGAGAAAAGCAAACAGCCTTACCGTTTTCACAAAATTCAAGACCTCCTCTTCGCCCATCAAGTCCTGAGTTATGTTAGCTTTTCATTCTGTAACATTATTCTTCCATGGGAAGTAACTGCATAAAGGTAAACATAATGTGAGCTGAGAATTTATAGGCAAGTATAGGAATTCACAGTGGGACTGTCACTGACCTGCCATGAGAGCTATTCCAACAATCCTCAGCGAGCAGGAGCTCTGTTATGCTAAAGGACTGCAGTTTTTTATTACTGCAAAGTCAGAACATCTATGCTATCCCTCTGAGGGTGGCAAAATAGTGGAATTTTCTCTTGATTCTGAATTTTCTTTAGTGAAGGCTACAAACAATCATCTTCACTTTGCTGTTCTTAGATACTCAATGGTTTCTAAACTTTTATTTCTTAGGCTAAATATAGCAAATATGTTATGTGCTAGGTTTAGATAAGTTTGTGCTCATAAAATCCTTAGGATTCTGTGATGAATATGTAGGATGAAAAGGATTCGTAGACTTTGTGTGGCCTGAAACAATGAATGAGGCAAAAAGATGACACGTAAGGAACATGCAGCTGAAAGCTAAGCAAATACTGATTGTGGTAAGTTATACCAGCTTATCTGAATGTGGTCCCATTGGACATATTATGCCCATCATTAATTTAAAAGCCTCTTCTCATAACAAAACTCTTAATAGTTCAGTGACTGGTTATTAAATCTGTGGATTATCAAAGTTCTCTCTTCCTTACCAGTTTGTGACTATTTCACTGCCTATTGATATCCCTACCAGTAGGTACACTGAGGAAAAGAAAAGGAAGAAACACTCAATTAGATCAGCCAGTGTGCTATCAGCTCTGCTAAAGTACCTGAGGGACAAGCAACTATAATACCACAACTTCTGAAATCTACTGAATCATGTGTGGTGCAGTGAATAAAGAAAATCTGGGAGTCTAGCCCTGTTGATTCTAAGATTAATTAGATTATTTATTACTGGAAAACAATGTAGTTAATGCTTTAAAAAATGTTAAGTCTAACTATACTAGGCACTCACTATAAAAGTGAGGAAAATGCCAAAAAATAATTTTAAAACACCATTTATTTAACCCAACAACCCTGATAACCATTGTGAACATTATTCTAAATGGCCCTTCATTCTTTTTAAAAACTACTCAAAAAACTTTAAAAATTGTTATAATACGTGTTTAGTATTATAACCAAATACTGGTTATAATTTTTTCCAATGTATTATATCATGAGCATCTTCCCACAATATTAAGTATTCTTCAAAAACATGAATTTTAATCACAGTAAAGATAATCTATTATCTATTTAATGTTTTCCTGATTTTATGTTTGACCATCTCTATAAATAATTCTAATCACGACTCTGGTTATTTAGTTAGGATATACTGCTAGGAAAGGAATTCCTGGGTTAAAACCAGGGTGCCCTATTTATGACAATGTTTTCTACCAGATTTATACCAAGATAGAGTCTACTGGCATTGAGTGAGAGACCTGTCTCACCATACTCTCACCAACACTGGAAGGGATCAAAGGGATAAGTAGAAAATACGTGTTTCAGTTAGTAGTGACTTACATTCTGATTTAACCCTCTCTTGGAGCCTGTTTCCTTACACATATAAACAGATAGGGAGGTAGCTGGAATATGTGATGCCTAAGAGCTAACATTCAACGATCCCTTCCATCCTTGCTGCTCATTCTTGAGTTCTATAATGTATGTCTGGAATTAACTAATTTCTCTCTTAATTTGGGTTTCCTTGGGGGCAGTGCAAGTCATTTGCTTAGGAGGTGATCCCATGGGGGGAAAAAAAAATTAAGTAGATGTGCTCTGGTTTAAGGAAAACAAGTATTTGGAAACCAAACTTCTATACATAGTTTAAGAACAGGAATTTTAGAAAGTATATCTTAATTTGTAAAACTTCATTTCGTTAATAAGCTTGCCCAGCACAGCACAAACATGATTTAGTTGCTAAACATTTGACATTAATTTTTCAGGAAGACACTCACTGTATTAATGATGACATCTGAACTATATTAGCATACCCAGTGCTCAGATTGGTGGCAGGTCAGAATTCAGATCCAGGCCAAAGAACACCACAAAGGTGTCACTGTAGTCTTACTTTTAGACAAACTGATATTGTATAGACTGATAGGAAAAAAATGTTTGAGATGCAAATTAATGGTTTTCATATAGTAAAAAAGCTTTCACATACAAAGTAGTATCCCCATCTTAACTATGGAAAGATTGAGAGAAACCCTTATATCTCTGCCTTCCGTCTCTGAGAAGGAAGAAATTGTTGTGAAGTCCATCTAAGTGGCAAGTTCTCATTTATCCCAGTGCTGTTCCTGTTAATGCCCTGCAGATGTCTTCTATTCAAATTAATTATTCATCTTCTTCACTGTCAAAGGTTGAGCTTGTTCAGATAGTCATCGATGGAGTCAATTACCTGGTGGATTGTGAAAAGAAGTTGGAGAGAGGCCAAGATATTAAGGTGCCACCCCCTCTGCCTCAGTTTGGCAAAAAGTGAACTTTCCCTTTCCCAGTTTATAAATAATCTGTCTGCTGGTACGACAGACATAAAGAAATCTCTACTCTGAGAGTTTTTGTACACTTGGAAAAATGTAAAATTGTAGATCCTGCCTATCTTTACAATAAAACTCTCCTTAATATATTGTTGCTTTGTTTCTGATTTTTAAAAATAATACTAAGAAGGGCAAACACATCCGATTACAAGTAGACAAGAAGCAAAATATTTTAAGACAATAAAACTAATATTTGTAAGTTTTGATTTAGCCACAACTTACACCTCTAAATAACCCTTTAGCTATCTAGATGTTAGTCAACCCTTAAGGAAATCTCTTATGGACCCCATTGGAAAGTAAGGAATTAATATAATAAGCAATTTTCTGGCAAATAGAGCAAGAGAAGACTTAACTTTTGAAAGTGTGGCAATAAAGACTACACAAATAGAGGCTACTTATTTATTCAGAGTTTGCTGTCACAAGGGTGTCAACCATCATCACTTGCATTTGTCAGTGACTCAAAGGCAGGCAGAGACATGAGAAATCTTTATGGTGAAAGAAAGGGGAGGTTTCAGGTATGCTGATTGGGGTTGCAGGCATGGGGAAGTTGAAGACAGGCTATCTAGAAGCGGGGTATGCTATGCGATTATTTTGGGAAGCATATTTGGTTTTATCTGATTGATTGGTTCTGAGTTGGAGGCAGGGGCAAAAATTAGAGAAGTCGGCAGTCATTGACCAAGTCCTGACCATCCCGTACTGACTGTTACAGAGGTTAGGGTTTGGCCTCCTAGAATGACTGCTTTAGAGGTTGTGGGTGAGAGTTCTGTTGTCCTGTGGTCTAGCCATTGTCTCTCTATATACTCAGTCTCTCAAAAACAATTCAAAATTTGATGTCTGAAATACTGAAAATGTTTTTAGTATAATCTGAAAGCAGAATTCTTCCTTCAGCATGCAGATTGTTACCTTGAATCTTGTTATTTTCCTTCTATCCTGTGATGTCTATAGCCTGAAGGAACACGATAGAGTAGGTGGGAGCAATTAATTGTGTAACAAGTTAGGAAACAGCTCCACACACAAAAGATAAATATTTTTTAATAGAAATGAGATCAAGTTATGCACCCTATAGTGAGTGACATCATCCTGTTTGCAGAAGTTGTGATAAGTTTTAATTTTGCTACAAGAAACAAGCGCATTGGCAATATTACAATCAAAATAAGACCTTTTATAAGATGAGTCCATTGGAAGAGATAAAGGGACTTTTAATTATTAATTAAAATTCTAAACGAATACCATATCTTCCAGCCATGGGAGTCATATAGCATGCAAATAGTTCCTGTTTACTAAGGTCTAGTTCAATCAGTATTCATCAAGCACTCATATGAACACAGCATGGTTCTGAGTCACAGGCCTTTTAAAATTTGCTGCATTCCTTACATCAGAGGCAGATGCAATGAGAAAGCTTCGATGGGTGAAAAATCATTCTGGATCTCTTCCTCAGGGGAAGAGAAACTGGGGTCTTCTCCTTGACTTCTGGGCTTCCACAGTAAGTCTGCTTATGGAGACTGAGCTACTCTCCCCTCACGCCAAACATCATAAAAGAGCACGTCTGAATGTTCTGAAAGCAGCCAAAATAATTTTTTTTCCCTTGAGACCAAGTCTCACTCTGTCACCCAGGCTGATGAAGTGGCACAATCATGGCTCACAGCAGCCTCAAACTCCCAAGCTCAAGCAATCCACCTCAGCCTCCCACCTCAGCCTCCCAAGTAGCTGCGATGACAGGTGCACACCACCATGCCCAGCTAATTTTTTTTTTTTTTTTTTAGAGATAGGGTCTTACTATGTTGTCCAGGCTGGTCTTGAACTCTTGGACACAAGCAATCCTCCTGCCTTGGCCTCCCAAAGTGCTGGGATAACAGGCATGAGCCACTGTGCCCAGCCTAAAAGAGGTTGTTTTGAGGTCAAAAAATTTGCATGAGATTCAGGCTCATGACCAAAGGCAAATTATTTAACTCAATAGTCTTGATTTCATTTGTAGAATGGAGAGAATTCCTGCCTTACAAAGTTTTTATGATGATTAAATAAGGCAGTGACTTACTTTTTTTTTCCCTTTTACTGTAAAAGGAAAACAATCATGTGAAAAAATATATTTCACATTAGAACCCAGTACACAAACAGGCAGGCTGCAGGCTCTGGAGACAGCCAGAAAACTGTGAGTGCCCGAGGTGTGAAAGTGTGAAAGGGGGATCATTTGCCCCGCCACACACATCTTCACTGGGGAACCTAAAGGTCCAGATCACAGAAGAATTTGACCTTGCCTGGGAGCTGAGACAAATTTAGAGAGCTGAGTAAAATACAGGGGTAGGGGAAGCAACAGGAAGGGCCCTGTGGGAACTCTCCATCCCCAGGGAAGTCATTTCTGACTGTCTCTCAGGTATCCTTGGGGAGGGCTGCCAGTGAAATTGGGGAAGGACCACAAGGAGAAGGAAATTTCCAGCTGAACTTTGTAACAATTTCCACCAAACACAAAGTCTCCTGGACAGAACCTGGGGAGCGGGCAAACCAGGAG